AACCTATATTATGCAATACGAGTAGATAATAATATATTATGTATCAAGTTTGATAAACGCCATTTTAGTCACGAATTTAATTTAGGCACGAGCAAGCTTGCGAGCGAGTGCTTAATTAAATGAGTGCCTAGAAAAGTTTATAAACGAGTTGCATAATATAATTTTTCTACTCCCACCTTTAAAACGCCCTTTATAGAACGTTTCCATGACACGAAGTGACCTTTTAAATACACATTGACAAGTTGTGGCTTTACAGGGCTTTAGTCACGGGCTGAAGTTAGCAACAGGTTTTTAGTCACGGGCTGAAGTTAGTTTTAAGTTAGTTGAAAGTTGTCAAATGTCATACAATCGTTAAAATAAAGTGCCTTTCTTGTAAAATAATACTAAATGTGAAAATTATTTTATTATCTCAATACAAAAATACAAAAATATTAAAAGTTTCTCAACGCCAATTTGAAAAGTTTATATGAACATTGTACTGACCTTTTAATTTCGCCGGCAGTAAACTATAACTTAAATTCGGGCACGGACTCTACTGTAAAGTCCTCATAAAACATTTCCTTTACTTTCACTGTGAAAAACTGTCAATTTTCAAGACACATTTCGTTTTATAACCTTTATAATTGTGTTTATAAAATGTAAAAATGTGACATTTGACAGTTCCCCTGTTGTTTCATAGATGGCGCTCTATACAAATTTTTTATTTAAATCATTTTAAGATAATAATAAGTATTTGTCGTAGAAAAAGTATAGTATGCACCTCGTTTATAAACTTTTCTATACACTCATTAACTTAAGCACTCGCTCGCAAGCTCACTCGTGCCTAAATTAAATTCGTGTATGAAATGGCGTTTATCAAACTTGATACATAATAAACTATTATCTACTCCTACATTGACGAGCTGACCTTATGACGTTTTAGTCACGGGCTGATCTCAAATTTATCTGCGTTATTCAAAATTTATTCCTTAAAAATAGACACCAATCGATATAGAAGCAATTTTTCACAGTTAAAGATAAGAGAATGTTTTATGGACACTGTACGGAAAATTTTTAACGCTTTATCAGTAAAAATCTAGTTAACTGCACTACTATAGTAGTAACTGATAATGTATACGGCGAAATCAAAAGGTCAGTACAAACGTTCATATAATCTTTTTAAATATTGGCGTCAAGAAACTATTTAATACTTTTGTATTTTAGTATTGAGATAATAAAGCACTTTATTTTAACGATTGTATGACATTTGACAACTAAGTTAAAACTAACTTCAGCCCGTGACTAAAGCGCCATAAAGCCACAACTTGTCAATGTGTATTAAATGGTCACTTAGTGTCATGGAAACATGTATGATAATGAGCGTTTTAAAGGTGAGAGTAGAAAAATATAATTATTGACAAGTAATTATAATATTATTTTACTAAAATGTGATGATTTATTGAATACACTTTCATTTTGCACAATTATCTTTTGTTTTAAGAGATTGCAAAAAACGGTTTTTTAAAACATTAAGGATCATTGTTATTGTAGCTATGGGTCCTAATTAAATTTAAAATAATAAATTTTACATATTCCCCTTAAAAATCTTGGTTTTAAGAAAATTAAATCTTTTTTTGCCAAAATTAGAGTTTTTTAAAAATTTAAAGTACTGTAATACGAACAATTTTTGTCCGATTATAATAAAATGTACAAAGCTTTAAAGCTTTATTTATCTACTTATTGTGGTAACATTTCAACGCAATCAAAATAGCACTTAAAACAAACGCGCGTGTCAAAATTTATGTTTACGGTAATGCTTGCACGACTTTTAAAAAATATCCTGTGACATTTATTTTAATAGTGACGCATTTAAAAACGTTTTGTATTTTTTGAACATTTTGCTAAACAGTGATTGTTTCTTTTGATTTTAAACATATTTTAATTCTTTAGTGCTCACATAAGTTATTTAAGGAGTCGTAAAAGAGCCAGGAGCATAAATGACCTTATATATAAATTTTACGGACCGTCACGATTTGCCACGTCACGTAACAAACTAAATTGACTAAATTTACTGCAATAAGCATTGGTTCTATTTTTAGTCAGATCCTTATAAAAATATTAGGAAAAAAATATTTTTAGGGTATAGGGTAGTTCGATAATTTGTAACATTTTGCCACAAGGGAGGGGGAGGAGCCAATTTTGACCATTTTAGCGTCACGAGATTTATGAACGGCCTAAAAGCTAAAAAATTTTATCAAATGCAGAAAACAATTGTTCATGTTAGAGAACTTTGAATTTTGAAAATTGCCAAATTTTGGCTAAAGAAAGATTTTATTTTCTTAAAAACAAGATTTTAAAGGGGAACTTTTTGTATTATTGTATTTAGTTTAAAACATAATTTTAAAAGATAAAATATGAATTTGTTTATTTTTTTTGTGGTCCATTAGAACTTTCTGGGGGACGAAAAAAGATATCGATTTTATATTTTAAACATGTTTATAATCCATTTAAGTCTGTTTTTCTAAAATATTTTAAACAAAATGCCACTTCCGGTTTAACCGAAAGTGACATAAACTTTGTTATTTCAAATAGAACACCCCATATATTTTTACATTTTTAAATTCTGTATAAAATTCTGAGTAAAATTCCTATACCATGTCCTATACCTAAAGTGAATAGTTTTCGAATTATTAATTTGTTTTTGTTAAAATTTGAAAATGCGCGTCAATTATAAATAGCTTATAACGGTTTTTTTATTAGGTTTGGAATTTTAAAACATTGTTTAAAAGATTTTATGTCAATTCTTTAAAGTTTTTTTTAACAAATTACCTAAGAAAACCCAGGACAAATTAGGATAACCTAAAAGGTTAATAACTGTTTTATTTTAAATTTAACCGGTATGGTTTTAAATAATCAAATAGTAAATTAAAAAACCTTTCGATCAATGTTAGTATTCCCTTTACCCAAAGCTAATAATTTCAGAGATATTTAACAATTTCTAAAATTTTAAATATTATTTTGTATCAAGAAACCTGTGACGGGAGAGTTGACCGTATCTATAGTTACCACGTAATCTGTCATTGTTTAAAATTTAATGGTTTCAATTTTTTAACTCGTTATAAACAATTTGTTTATTTAAAATTTTAGAAATTGTTAAATATCTCTGAAATTATTAGCTTTGGGTATTAGGAATATATTTTCTATACCCAAAGTATAATGATATAATAATAATTACAGAGTTATTTAACCTCAATCGTGTTCCATTTAAAATAAAAAAAGTTATAAACCTTTTAAGTTAGCCTAATTTGCCCTGGATTTAGGTAATTTGTTTGAAAATTTGTTAAAGAATTGATAAGGAATCTTTTAAACAATGTTTTAGGATTCCAAAAACTGAACACCCATATTCGCAAACTTAATTACAAAAAACGTATAGGCTATTTTTTATTGACGTGTATTTTTCTAATTTTAATGAAAAAAATTAATAACTCGAAAAATATTCACTTTAGAACATGGATAGACTTTATGTAGAATTTAAAAATGTTCAAATTTATGGGGTGTTTTATTAAAAATAACAAAGTTGATGTAACTTCAGATTAAGCCGGAATGGCATTTTGTTCAAAATATTTTAGAAAAATAGACTTAAATGGATTATAAATGCTTTTAAAATCGATATCGAAAATAGGTACTTTTAGGTGGTAAAATTATTTAATTTATTATTGTATAAAATTTTATTGAACAAGATTTTTATGATTTAAAAAATTTGAAAATAACTTACGAATATATCTTATAAAAATACGATAATATAAAACATAAAAATTTTATAATTTCTTAATGCAGCGGCACAAAATGTTTTTGTATTATAATAGAAATGTTTAAAAAAATACTTTCTTATGAAAAAGCAAAAATTTCTTGGAATTTGTAAGGAATCTGTCACTTGCGTCATTCGAGTCACTGTTCGCTATTTACAGTACCAACCACTATGTTGGTAATGTGGGTTGGTTGGTATAACGACCTTAATTTTAGTTAGTTAATTTCTGTTAAAAATAAAAATTTAGGTGAAATCACACTATTTTGGGTGGTAAAATTTAAAAATTAGGACCATTTCTCTTAAAAATTAAAATTTAGGTAAAATAAATAAAATAAAATCAGGGTAAAATAAAATCTTTTTTTTTTCAAAACGGATTTTATTCCATTGCACCTCAAGTTATAACACTGTAGGGAGTTGAAAATATCACACCTAAACGCTCGGACTCGTAAACTTAATTTTTGGTCGTAGATTACAAATCCGTGCTTGGTTTAGCTGTATCAGGTCAAAATTCAAAGATATTGGAAACACCCTGTATAAATTTTTTTTAAATTAAATTTTGCGGGACACACACATCAGTTCCGAATTAGAAAAATAACAAATTCTTGCAAAATTTAATGTTAATGGATTATCCCTAAGGGTTTTTCTTGGATAATTTAGGAAATTTGAAATGTTTTTTTGCAGATTTTTTTTATTGAGTATAATTGAGGATATTAAATTAAATGAAATAAAAAGCATAAAACTGTTGGCACAAGAGGTGAATTATATTATATTTTACAAATTATAATATACCAGTATACAGTGTGTCCCCGGATCGGATTTCCAATAGGAAAAACTTTTTTAGACCTGATACAGCTAAACCATAGACTATGAGCTAAACCGAGCACAGATTTGGAATCTTCGAACAAAAATTATGTTTACGTGTCCGAGCGTTTAGCTGTGATATTTTAAAAGTTAAAAATTTACCTACAGTGTAATTAGCGTAGACAAATAGGTTATACAACTAAAATCCCATCTGTTTAAATTAAAATCTTAAATTATTTAATTAAATAGATTTTTATAATAAAAATGTTTAGCGCGAACAGTATTTTAAAGTAAAGTAATGAAAACCCCGTTGTATTAAGCAATCTGATAAAGTCTTAAACCCAATTTCCTTGGAACTAAATCCTTATTAACACCGGCCATAAACCTTGTTATCAAAGATAATATCGTTTACCGTTTGAGCTGCGAAAGGCAGAAGAGGGCCTCCTTGTCGTTCTGCACCCGGGCAGTGAGCGTATCAATCAGCGGGGCGAGCTGTTTCAACGCCGGCTTATCCAAAATCGTGAGCAGCGTTTTGTTATCGATGAGCCGCTGTTGCACCTCGCTGTGGTGCAGCGACAGCAGCCTCTGGTGGCTGGCGTCCACAGGCTTCTTGTTGTCGGCGCAGGCAACTCCTAGTTCGTCGAGGCGGTGCAGCGCGATCTTGTAGGCGTCTATGTGCCGTTGCAGCTCGGTTTTGAGGGCGACGTGTAGATGGGTGAGGCCGCTGATGTCGGGAGTCAGGCCGTGGCACCCTAAACCTGGAATTAGTAAAGAAGAAAACTGTAAAAATGTTTGTCGAATTATTTGTAGGGAAAATGTTTACTTTTTTAGAGATTACAGTTATATTGTTTACAGAGCTGGGATTATCTTGAAAAAAAGATACTTGAAAGTAACTTAAGTTGTATTGCGAAATTATTTTTTGATAGGAACCGAGATCTTGGTTCCTCTGAAATGTCTGTCAATTTTTAAAATTTTCCTGAAACTTGGTCGTTTGGTTACTGAAAAAGCGACCGCACGTTTTTAGCGGTAACATTTTCGTTGCTGTCAATTTTTTAACTAAAATTACGTTATGTGTTTGTAAACAAATAAATAGATCACCCCGATTTTGTTATAACAATTTATATTTAATATTTAATAGTTAATTGGAGAAACATGGAGGAAGGTTGTAGATTATACCTTAAAATGTACCTATGCATTTATATTAAGCAGCATAGGTACAATTATTAATAGGTAAAACATTTTTAAACATTAAATAATTGGTTTTGTAGGAAGTTGTTTTCATTGCGGTAAAAGTATTAAAACTATTGACAATTTTCAATATAATCCCTTATCCTTGCTAAAAAGGGAAATTCAAATTATTACGCATAGTTTAGTATTTTGTACCTAAATGAAAATTATTATATATTGTTTAAACTAATTAGTATTTTTTACCTTAAAGCCTTCTATCATCTTCACTGGATTTTAAAAATATTAGGTGTTTTCGCGGTGCTAATCCCGAACTAGTTCGGACATCCTACTCTTTAAAAATGAATTATTCAAAAATGACTAATTTAAAAGTTATTATAGTCACTATAGTGACTGCTTTTTCACTTGTACCATGGTTAACCATGAAATACCATGGTATCCCAAAATTTAACAGCCAATTCTTATATAAAATTGTCCCCTGAATCTGAAAATGTCAAAATTTAAAAAAGTAGAACAGTTTTTGAAATATAGTTATTTTCGGATTCAGGGGACAAGGAGGCCCTCTTCTGAAATTCAAATTATTACGCATAGTTTAGTATTTTGTACCTAAATGAAAATTATTATATATTGTTTAAACTAATTAGTATTTTTTACCTAAACGCCTTCTATCATCTTCACTGGATTTTAAAAATATTAGGTGTTTTCGCGGTGCTAATCCCGAACTAGTTCGGACATCCTACTCTTTAAAAATGAATTATTCAAAAATGACTAATTTAAAAGTTATTAGTGACTGCTTTTTCACTTGTACCATGGTTAACCATGAAATACCATGGTATCCCAAAATTTAACAGCCAATTCTTAAATAAAATTGTCCCCTGAATCTGAAAATGTCAAAATTTAAAAAAGTAGAACAGTTTTTGAAATATAGTTATTTTCGGATTCAGGGGACAATTTTACATAAGAATTGGCTGTTAAATTTTGGGATACCACGGTATTCCATGGTTAACCATGGCACAAGTGAAAAAGCAGCCACTAATAACTATTAAATTAGTCATTTTTGACTAATTCATTTTTAGAGAGTGGCATGCGCATTTTAATATTTGTAATGCGCACTTTACATTTTGAACCCCAAATTTTAAAAAGCGCATGCCTAGGATTTCCGGAATTAGTTCGGGATTAGCTCCGCGAAAATAGCTATTGTGTATAAAAAACACCCAAACAATAGAAAAAGTTTGGTTAGAATATCCGACAGATAACCGCTTTTTGATGCATTCCAAAATTAGTTCGTTTCTATCAACCGATAACCGACCAAAATCGTGGTATCGGTCATCAAAAAATAATTTCGGAACATAACTTTAGATACTTAAAGTATCCAAGATACTTTATCTTAGATACTTTTTATATTGGACAGAAAGTATATTTAACTAAGTTACTTTGGAAAATTATCTTGTAACTTGTATCTAAAAAAGTATCTAAGTTACTCGGTAAAGTACATTCAAGTAACTTAGACACTTTTCAGTGTAACTTAGATACTTTCTTAGAGAAAATTTGGGGAATTCCAGAATGATTCAAAGTAATTACCCAACCTACAACTTGTTGAATTTTCATAATTTTATAATTTTTATTCATACTTAAAAGTAACTTAGTTACTCAAAAGAATCTTAGTTACTTAAAAGTACCTTAGTTACTCAAAAGTATCTTAGATACTTTCATATAGTATCTTATCTATAGATACTTTCGGATAGTATCTTAGATACTTTCGGATAGTATCTTAGATACTTTTTAAAGTATTTTGTAACTAAAGATACTTTTAACTCAAAGTATCTAGTTACCAGAGTTAACTAAGTTATTTTGTTTAAAGTATCTTTGAAAAGTAACTAGATACTTTTCAGAATTAACTTTCCCAGCTCTGATTGTTTACACTGTTTTAAAAATTAGATTTGTTAACATGAGCTTGTAGTTTGTTAATTTTATTTTGTAAAATTTTAATATAATTTGTTGTAGAAAACCAGGGTTTGTAATTATTTTAACAAAGGAAAATATTTTACCGAAAGTTTACAAAGGTAATATGCAATTTTGTAAGCATTTTGTTAATTTCAAAGGTTACAGATTATTTTGTTAATGTTTAACAAATTATTTAGTTGAAAAAGTACACGTGATTTCAGGAAGTCAATCAAAACATTTCCCACTGACACACACTGGGAGTAATTTTAAAAATCGCGATAAATCGTGAAAATCAACATAGCAAATTTTAAATTGCGAGTTATAAAAAAAGAAAGCCCAGAGATTATGATTTAAAAAAAATATATTTTTTTTATGATAAAATGCCTGCTTAAGTATTTTACCACATTCCTTATCCTTGTTCTTTCATATGAAAGTCTAAAATTGCAAATTTTACCAAAAATAAGGTTTTTCTGAAGGCTGCCAGGACTCGGCCGGAAAAGATATTTAGGAATAGGAATAGGCAGGTGATACCTATTCCAAAGTAGCCGGTCCAGTTCCACTGTAACATCCCTAAAGTAGTATTTATTAAATTTGTTAAATATAAAATGATTTGATTACAGTTCCCAGTCACGTACTAATACTCGACACAGCAAGACGTCTGGCTTAGCGACCTCTTAAAACATAAAAGCTTAAAACCCACAAATAATTACTAAAGTGCAAACAAAATATAGTGTAACATCTATAGTGAGTGGAGGCCAGCGCCGTAGCTACAATGGTTCCGTGGGTTCGGTGGAACCAGGCCCGCGAGCTCAAGGGGCCCGCGGCCAGCGATTGGAATAACAATTTTTTTTTCTTCAAATATTTGGATTAATTCTTTTAAATATATTTCAACATTTACAGGTCATTTATTTATAATAATGGCTTAAGGCTTAGTAAATAGTAAAAGACCACCAATAATAATAATAATAATAATAATAATTTTTGCTTGAATCATGTAAAAAAAATTAAAACTAAACTAAAAAACAACCCGTTGGTCTTCACGCAATGATGCAATAAAGCCCTACGTTTTAAGTATCTTGATGTTCTTAAGGCCTTGTCAAAATTATTTTAACATCTAATAATAAGGCTGAAAAAGACGACTCGAAAGGATTTAAAAGTACATTGGAGGACTTTGAAACCGTATTTTTGATTATTTTACAATCTAACATTTTAAATCGCATAGACACAGTATCAAAACTCTTACAAAATCAGCAGCAAGATATCCAAAAATCTAGTAAACTTTTAAAAAATGTGTTAAATGACATAAGCAAACTTGAATGAATTTTTAGATATAAAAAAGAGGCCGATATTACATCAAGTAAATGGGGTATAATTCCAGAATTCGCAAACGTTTTTTTGATGAAGTTGCAAATGACTTTGTTTTTTAAACTGCTGAAGATAGAGTTAAAGTTTTTTTTTAAGACCCTAGATATTATATCAGACAATTAGTTTACATTAAATAGCCACTAACTTCAGTATTTTGGAAACAGAAGTTCTGTTAAATTCTACTCATGAGTATGAATACAGAAGTATACCAAATGGCGGAAAACATTCGGGAAATATACGAAGATGGTATTTTAGACTTCCCTATCAATTAATAGGTTAAATATTTTTCTGACGAACTAAAAACTATTAAGTCAGTAAAGAATTTGCTAAAATTTATAATGGTTGACAATTACTCATCCAGTATGTTTTCTATACCTTACAATTCCTGTGACGGTTGCAACGGCAGAACGATCGTTCTCAAAACTTAAGTTAATAAAAAATTATTTCAGGAACTCCATGAATCTATATCGATTATCGTCTTTGGCAATGATTTTGGCAAAATTTTCCGCTGCTAAATTTGGAAAGTAGCTTTTTAATGGACACACCTTTATTTTTTATGCCCTTATATTTTGTTTATAATATATTATTATTATTTATTAGTTTTAGTTTATTTTTCCTGTATATATATACTTTATATTATAAAAGTTTATAGAAAATATATAGTCTTTTATTTTTTCTTCACTATTAAAGCCGTAGATTTAAGGGGGTATAAAGGTTGTTGTGTTCCTCCCAAATATAACATAAAAAATATTAATTAGTACAAAATACAAAAAAACACCTAGAGGCCCGTGGGTATAGCCCGGAACCCGGGCCCATTGGGTTGTTGCTACGGCGCTGGTGGAGGCTACCCTACGCTCAAGAAAGTGAAAAGTGAGAAGTGGCAGCTACAGGGTGGTCTTACCACCAATCAAGTGGACGATTTTCATGAGACAAACAAAAGATGACAAAAAAGGGAGGAATGGGCCATCTGCATAACGTATAAGTAACCTTAACGACACGACAGTTACCTTAAAACTTAAATTAGGCACTTTAGTGCAAATTTGCTTAAACTTAAAAAAAAACATAAAGTAAACAAATTGCGAAAGAAAATCGGCACAAGGAAACAGAGGCCTATGCGGGGCCCGGGAGCGATGAGGCAATGGGGCAGGTTCTTGCGAGCTAGTCTTTAATAAAAACGAGTGTCTAGAGAAGTTTATAAACGAGTTCATACTATACTAAACTTTATCTATGACGAACACAAAACAGAATTTAAAGCCAATTGTCT